TAAGGACTCGCGGTGAGAAGTGTTGGCAACCTTTCGTGTTCTGAGTCAGCTCCCTGTGGCGAACTTCAGGCCCGACCATGCCCTTACCCCTTGGGCCTCCTAAACCCTGAAAATTCCCTAAACCCTAAACCCTAAACCTGAAAATATTGGGGACAAAAATATTTTTTCCCCAATATGTTTAGCCCCTGGGGCCTCCTAAACCCTGAACCGGGGCTCCCCAAACCGCAAAAGGCCGGTAAGCCGAAAGCTCCGGAGAGCTTTGATGCTTTGAACTCTGATCTCCTTATTAAGATGCCCGAAGAGCAGCTTCAATCATGAACTCCTCAGAACACGTACAGCGCGAAAAAACCCTCGAAGTGTCGAGTCACCTTGCGGAACACTGTCCAGCTTCAGTGGGAGCCTGAGTCTTGCAAGAGTGGACAACCGATTGTGGTTTAGGGACGTTCAGGGTAGATTTAGGGATTCGGCCTGCAGACCCAAATACACCACTAATTAAACAGTCGAATCGATATGGGAAGGACCCTTGAAGAAGGTAATATAATGCTTTTAGACTAGGTGGAGTTTAAGGCGTAGATTTTAGGAGTCAAGACTGGACCAAGAGCGCTGGGGGGCATAGGATTGAGGGATTCGGGAAGCAGAATTTATGCAGGTGGTTGTGGGAGTTATGTTAGGTATCGGATTCCGGGTGATCGAAAAAAGGCTTGTGGGTATACAAAAGCATACCTACGACTGTAAGGTTACAGGCCGACAACCAAGCATACTGCTCTGCGAAACCCTGTAATATCCTAAAAACCCATGAAGTAACGAGGCCTATTGATAGTCCCTGTGTCTTTTCGCCCCAGCCCGCAAGTCGAACTCCAGTTCTTGAGGCTGCGAAAAGCAATCGGCACGGCCTGAACTGGGCCTCTGGAATCTGAAAAGACGCACATAAAAAGGACTCCATACCACTTGGACCTTGAGGGTACTCACAGCAACCACTGAAAACTCTATAACCCCCGAACTCAACCCTAAACTCAACTGCCTACACCCCGAACCCCTCATGAATCAAACACTAAGTAAAGCCGAAACCTATCATGCAACCCTGAACCTCTGAACCCCAGCTTAACGCCAACCTAAACCCTGACCAGAACCCCAAACCCTAAAGGGACCCTAACGCAAGCGAGGCTCACTTCGAGCTTCGTGCCCGCAGCCTTGACCACCTCGGGCATGAAGTTCTCGTCCGTCTCGGAGTTCACATACCTCAACATCTGTCCATATAGGATATTATAGTCGTCATTGCAATTAGTTGCTTGTTTTGGTTCAAACTATACACTATAGGATCTTGACCATAAGACTGGTTAACCAAAAAAGGAACTACAATGGAGACTACACGTAAGGTTTTGTCTCCCTCCTACCTAGCAAGGACGACGCCCGCATTGCAGGGGATGGTTTAAGTGGTGGGGTTTAGGGTTCGGGCTTCCTCGAAAGGTTTCGATAGGAGTACTACATAGGGTTTGAGGGTTGAGAGTCTACGGCCTTGAGACAATGGGCTATTTTAATTGGGTCTGACAGAAGGTAACGGGATCCCCAAACATACCATATTAAGGGCTATGCCCTATCACAATGGTGTCATGACCCCTGCGGCCCAGAAATTGTGACCAGAAGGGGCAGTGGTCAGTGAAGTTTAGGCTTCACATAGCGTAACTGGGTTCTAGGCCACACGATTCTTGAAATTCGGTGACATGTAATCACACACTCACACACACGTATCTCGTGGGCTCATGTCGTGTTCCCTAGCTGGGGCTTTCTCTTTGCCGAAGGCAATCGGACGCCACGGTATCTGCAGAGTTTGGGGCTTTAGGACTCTCTTTTCCCGACAACAGCGCTAACTCCAAATCAAGTTACCCAACACAAGGGGCTCGTGTCTACATGAACCCTAATAAGGGAACTTACCTTTGCAAATCAGGCTTTATCAAGATTCTCCCAAAACTACTTCCGTTGTCGCCAATATGGCCTCCTCATGAGGAGCATGAGACCCTTTTTCTATACTGAACTTAGAACCCTAGCAAAAATTATAATTTTAGCTGTTTCTTAGGGATTATAGTAACCAAAAATTAAAAAATATTTCTAAGTACCCCTAAGTTTTAAGGTAGAGGCTCTGAGGGGTCCTGGTAGGCCAGGATTCTGAACTATCTACATCATCAGCTCTGCCATCCGAGATGCAACCAGCCGGCACATTGCGCAGAGAGCTGCTCCACAACGTCCTCCCACGAGGGTTGGTATACCGCTCAACTGGGGATCTCTATTGTCATAACGCATAATTCCTAGACAGGGTGAAAGCTTCCTCGCCGAGATACGGCCAGGACACTCAGGAACCGTTGGGTTTCGGGTCCCGGATTCCACATTCTGTCAGTGTGATGCGGCCATTTCTCAACAGCGGCGCTGTCCAGGGTTTTGGGTGTGGGGTGAGCGCGGATCGTGCCGTGATCGAAACCCCGACGATCTTGCAGGAAGACCCTGCCTTACCTATTAACACACAAAGACAACTCCAGCAAGCCATCAGGGTCTGCAAGTATGGGGGGGTCGGCGTTGCTCTGTTTCGGAGGCTTCGGGTTTAGGGGTGAGGGTTGTATTAGTAAAAGCCCCCCTGCGGCCCGAAGACAGTCCGCTAAAAACTAAATAAGCGGTTATGCACAAGCTAGTTCTTGACGCCCCATATACTGTCATTTGAGGTGTAGGCTCAGTAGTCACAAACAAGTATGCAACTCCCAGATGCTCCTTGGGCAGATTGCCGCTGACCACGATATCACCTGAAGCAGATTCGGCAGGGGCAGCCTACGACAACGTTCGTAGCCGTTGTTTTGAAAGAGCTTCTGATTTTTTGCGCTCAAAGGGTCTAGGTTTCGATCTCGAACCCTTCCTCGCCGAAGGCCCGGTTCCAAAACAGATTTTAGTTGAAGGGGCGGAGCCAGATATACCCTGAGGCGCTAACCCCCGGAAGACTCCAAGACCCTATAGAATACTTAAGCCCGAAGCACCATCCAACACCCATAATCCATCCCCTCCCTCCTTCCCTCCCTTCCTCCCTCTCTTTCTCACTCTCTCCCTCTCTCCCTCGCTCTCTCTCTCTCTCTCTCTCTCTCCCTCTCTCTCTCCTGTCAGCCAGCCTAGATCCAGAAAACCAAAGCCCCGAATCCTCAGCCGCCTGGGAGAGCCGGAAGCCGAAGAGGATGCTTCTCGAACAGCGAAGTCAGGGCCTCCCACCCCAAGTGCTCTGGACGTTTGGGTTTAGGGTTCAGGGTTTAGGGATGGTTAAGCCAGCATGATTGTTGAAGTTTAGGCCTATATAAGCCCAAGCCCACAGACCCACTCCACAACCTCCAGGGTTTACGTGCAAGTAGATAGCCTGTGTCCCCTGAACTTCGGAAGGCCTCTCGATTGCACATCGGAGCCTGAGAGACACCTAAAAGAAAAGACATCGAAGACGAATCTACCCTGCAAGTACGCTCCCAGGCTGGTGAGCCCAATCCTCCACTGACAGCGCAGGCAGAACCTTTAACTCTCCCTCTGATCAAGGCCGAAGACGTGTTGAACAAAAGCTTGAAATTCGGAAGGCTTCCCCAGTACCTGGTCCTTATCTATGCCACCAAATACTAACCTACATGACTAATTTCTATGCCCAAGCTCAAAAACCGCAGCACCTCCTTGTCCAGCGATTTCTGCACTGCTGGCAATGTCCCACCCGGAGATGCCCCAGTGGCGTCGGGCGCAACCACTGCAGAGGACGCACCGCAACCCATGATGTCCTGAGTTCAACTTAGGAAATCATTCATGCTTGGGTTACATAAACCACAAAGGGTTCAAGGTTACCTACCAGCTACTTGTACTAAGTCAACGAGTGTCTGCCGTTCAGCGGCCTCTGCCTGACCCTAAACCCTGAGTGGGACTGCCTTGTAGAGTATAAGTAGCTGCTGCGTCCCTGGCCGAACACCCAGCCAGGGTGCAGAACTGCAGAACTGAAGGAAGGATGATTGCCTACAGTTGCTTTTGGGAATGAGGACAATGGGCTTCCAATAAACACTTAAAAGTTGCCTACCCTGCTATACAGTAGGGAGGTTGAACTCAAGATATGTATATCGTTCTACTTGGTCATTCCACACCTAATACTCTAAACCCTAAGCCCCAAACTGTGGAATTGAAGCTGGAGCCATGGAGTCCGGCGTTGCCCGAGCTGTCATCGGACGCAGTGCAAGCGATGCAAGGCCTGGCTCCCTGCTTAAGCTCAGGAGCCATAAGAACCAAGCCTTTAGTTATCCCCAAGTGAAAGGGCTTCCCTGAAAATGTTGCTACAAGGATCCTATCGTACAGGCTCATTAGAATAGGTTTTGGGGGGTATATCACACCATAGCCCAGATAAGGAACCCTGAGGAAAAGTATTAGTAATCGTGTAGTCATCACCAGATCCCGAAACTTGCAAAGACCGCGATCAGAGGGCTAAGCCTGCGGTGAACTTACAGTCAGCCACGTTTGGGGCCATGGTCAACCGGGTTAGAAGTGCTCATTTGGTGGACTGAAATATTGTACTATAAGCTTTATAGCTATGATGTTCAAGAGCAATCCTGAACTCTCATCCCTGAACCCTACCCCAAGGACCCCGAAAGCTAAATGCTGCCTGGAGTCGCTCGGTAGGCGTCAGGTCGACGTCGGGGTGCGGGCAACGGCCGAGAAGGCTTCGACAGGGTGCAAAGACGATGAGGTTCAGGGTGCAGTGCGTCATATGTCATACCTTGTGCATAGGTTTGTCCTGTCGCCCCGGAACTCCCTCTGCTGAAACCCTGAACGAACGCTACCAAAAACCCCACTCCCCCAAGAAGCTCTGCGCCACAGGACTTCAGAAGCCACGCCAGATTCGGCAGTTGGGCAGGGCGGGGAGGCTTAAGGGCTTAGAGGACAAGGTTTTGGGGTGAGAGCTGAACTGTTTGCTTTCGGATTAGCTGAAAAGTCGAGTTGGGACGAGAAGCATACTTCCAGTTGGCATCAAAGTCAGCGACAGCTCCGCATGTCAACCTGCGTCGCCGATGAGGCTTTGAGGTGTTTACGGCATGCACATCCATGCATCAGTACGGGGCATCACTTCGATTCGGTATGCATTGCCTGTATACTGTCTTCTCAAGGGTCTTATTCTGCTTCGCGCTCAACAGGATCAAACGGGGAACACCCCTTTCAGATTTGCAGGCTGTCGGAGTCATGCCGGTGCCGGGGGCATCAGGAATCAGGGTCAGGCTAGGGTCTCTTAAGCTTGTCTAGGGGTCCCATGGAAGGATCCATATTGTCCTTTCTTATATCATGCGCAGGGTGTGTACGTCCGTATGTTGATACAGAGTACTAGGCTTCTGTGCAGCTACAACTCGTGGGTTTAGGGTTTAGTGTCAGGGCTAAGGTTTTACAGTTGAACCCGACGGCCTACCTGTTGGGTATTTAACTTAGGCCCTTATAATATGCCCTTATGGTCACCCTATGAGCCCGAAAGCCCTACTTTTGCGGCCGCAGTGCACATCGAAGCGACCCAGCAAAAAGTCGCCGCCGGAAGGAGCATCTGACCGGATCAGGGTTTGGGATCACAGAACGCGTTGGGGACGACGTGACAGATTTTGTTTTTGATTTTTTGGTTTTCCCCAGGAAAGAATTGGGATTCTCAAAACTATCTTTTTCCTAGGAAATTGTCAAAGCATGTGAAAGCAAAGCCCCGAGTGTAGACCCTCAGCGATAGCCAGAACCAGTCATCTTTCGAGCCCTTATGAACCCAATCTTGACCATCCCTAGATCCTTGAAACAAGAAGCTCCCAGCGTAGCCCTTAACGCCCAGATGCTGTGAGCCTTTGCCGGAGCCTTTCGCCATCTGACAACTTATGAACAGAAGATTTTATGAATATGAGCCTGTCGCAGCTCCCCATGACCGGAACAGGGATGTAGGGACTTTCGATTTTGCTGTCGGGTTGGGAATCAAGCATTATGGTCGTGGGCTGTGGGCCTTGTCAGGGAACGTTTTGAAGCCCAGGTCTGTCCGAATACTAGGCAACATCTACTTCGGCAAGTGACTGGACGGCTTTCCGGCGGACCCGTCTCCCTCGTCTTTGAAGAGACAAACCTTCGCATTTGCACTGCAATGGCGCGGAAGGGCCGAGTACAGTTTAGGGTCAACAGTCAACAGTGTCCGAAAGGCATTTCCATGCTTGCTCTTGGTCCTGGGTTCCTGGTGTCTTGTCGAACTTGTGTGAGCACTCAACCTTCCTCGCATTGCTTTCTTCACTTGGGTAGTCGTTGCCCCTTATACAAAAGGTTCTAATGCAGGGCGCAGGACAACGCACCACAAGCCGGTGCACCGCATAGTACCGGCATCGCGCTTGCTGCAAGAACAAAACGCCCAAATCCTGACATGCCAACCCTTTTTGGATCCGGTCTGCAGCGACTCTACCGGGTCCCCCTCAAGCTATGCCAACCCTAAACCCTGGATCCCGCTCCCGCGAGGCTTTTGTGGGGTTTCGGGCTACAGGTGGGGGTTAGACCCTACGAGCGTGGAACCCTGCAGCCATGACACAATTCTACATGCAGGATCAGGAGATTTGACTTAATCTAGGAACCTTTTTGCCACTGGACTTAATATAGGAACCTGATGAAGAAACCTTGGGCCTTTAGTAGGGTTCCTTATATGAACCCTACTATTTTGGGGTTATAGGCCCAGGATTTCTTAATCAGGTTCCTACATTAAGCAGGTTCGAATTGGGTTGACAGACCCCTATATACAAAAAAAGCCTGAACAGGAAACGTTAGCCAAAACGGCTGCTTCGATGCCCGGTAGCACATCGACAGGGATCCGGGATCACCTGCGCCTAGCACGGGCTTCAAGGACACATTGCCGGCAAGCTAGAGCTTGCAAAGATAGGTACATCTGTATATGTACACTATACGACTCTATATGCAAAACATGTGTGTATGTATGCATGCATGAAGGCACTCACACATTAAATAATGCTAATCTCATGATAATACTCCCCCCCCGGTCCCCCAGTTGATTTCAAGCACACAGGCCAGGACGATTGACTATTGAAGGGGAAGGGTCGGTACTACTGCGCTTGCTGACTCTATCTGCGACTCCGGGGAGGGCTGTGGGTCCCTGCCTCTACATTTAAAGCAAACAGAAAACGACGGCAATTTCTCTAAAGCCTAATGGGTCTTCGTTATGCAGGATGGGTTCATATTGAGTTCTCGGGTTCGAACCTTTTGATTAAGGGGTTGGTAGTTTCCGGACGCGGTTGTTTTCTTACTTGAGGGGATTTACAAGAAAGTAGTTTGCACTATTCTGTTCCGTTCTCTATGCAGATAACTGCATATGTACATATATACACACAAAAACCCCTAACAATTGTACACATGCATATACATAAATAAATAAAAAATAAACATATATATATATTATATATATATATATATATATTTGTTTATTTTTTACATATATATATATGTATCTATATGTATATATATATATATATGTATTTCTGTATATACAATAATATATATATATATGTGTGTGTGTGTATCTGCACATACAAAACACATCCACACGTCTACATGTTAGATAGAAGAGAGAGAGAGAGAGAGAGAGAGAGAGAGAGAGAGAGAGAGAGAGAGAGAGAGAGAGAGAGAGAGAGAGAGAGAGAGAGAGAGAGAGAGAGAGAGAGAGAGAGAGAGAGAGAGAGAGAGGGAGAGAGAGGGAGAGAGAGGGAGAGAGAGGGAGAGGGGGAGAGGGGGAGAGGGGGAGAGGGGGAGAGGGGGAGGGGGAGAGGGAGAGGGAGAGGGAGGTCAATTGATCGTTCACTTCATGAATATGCCTCATTGCACCATTACAATCTCCACGCTTCTCTGGGCAACAGCACGAAGAGGCTCGCCAACAGTCGCAGCAATCTTGAAGTCCACTTCCCGGTTGGTTTAGTATGTTTTCATCTACTAGACCTCTGACTCTCACGTCGTGATCGCCAGAAACTTGCACGGCACAAATACATCAAACTCCCAAGCATCGAAACCGCCTGCAGATCAGACTTAATTGCATACTTTGACGGGGTGATTGGTTCAGCTAAATTTGTCTAGGTCGTCACTGCCATTGATACACTAAGCTCGCCAAGTACCGGTCATTGGAGCTGCGTCGGACACCGAACAACCAGCGCTCCAGTCCTACTGTTCCCCCAAACCGCTTGGGCCCTCTGACATGTGAGTGCCCAACCACGCACCACCCCACCTCGAGTATACCTGTAGTTACAAGAACGAGACGTATCTGATGCCTTTTCTCCCCCTTTAAGTAATAACCTAAGCCCATGTAGCCTCTGACTTCCCGTTCTGGTGCCTGTGTCAACGAGTCGCCAAAGCGATGGAGCCGCAACTCCTTCGTCACGGCGGATCAGTGCAATCCATCGTTTTGGGGGAAGGGGGCCTCAGTTTAGATTCTTAGATGCTGGTTTTTGCACCTTCGCCTCTACAAGTTGTAGCCGTGGCCCAGCCATAACATGCAGAAAACAAACCCCAGGCCTCGGTGTTTTAGGAAACCAAGAACATCCACGAATATTCTGGCATTATGTAGCAGATGCAAGGTGTAGACAAAACAAGTCCCAAGGGTTGTGGCTGGCTTAGGATTTATGGTGTAGTGCTTTCTCGTTTTCAATCCTCAAGTAGCACCACCCTTAGAGTGGAAAGGGAAGCTGACACCGAGCTACACCTGCAAAAACGAATATAGGGCTCAGGGGGCATAGAATATCACAAGGCTGTGGCCATGTAAGTGCCATGACTCATTACATCTGCACAAAGTTCGGCTTTGAGTCTCGGAAACTATGCGACAAACTTCCTACCAGCATAATTGCTCTTTAGTCATCTCGGCCCCAGAGAGGTCTTGGCCTTCTAAACCCTGCGACCCCTCGGTCCTAAAGCCCTTGTAACCCCAAAATGTTACTTCCCCTGCGCTCCGCATGCCCTACAGGGCAAAGCCTGAAACCCTTAGACCCTAAACCCCAGACCCCCCCTAAACACTCTAGAAACAACCGAGGGACTGAAACACGAAACCATGCAACTCGAAAGCCTTCAACCCTGCACCTCACAACCCAAATCAGTGGTGGAGGGACTGCAAACAGGCGGATGTCTGGATTTAGGCTTTAGTGTCGTTTTGATATCAAAGCTGCAAAGTACGAGTAGTCACTGGACCGGATCGATTTCTTACGTTAAGGGTTAGAACTGAGGCCATGTAGGGTTAAGGATTTACGTTTCAGCTCAGGGTTGAGAGCCGCCGCGAGCCTGCGCCACCTTCTTTTTCGTGCCGTCGCGGACATCCTCACCTCGTCCATGCTTGGATATCAATGTAGGCACGGTTGTTTCTAATTACTGATAACAGTGCTTACAGTAACATCGCATAAGCTCGAGTGTTTTCATCGCGGGCATTCGGACAGTATAGTTAAGAACAGTCGGCCTGAGGCTAGATCAAAGTCAGAGAGAGCGGCTTGTGCTGCGTGCCCATGTTCGCATCAGGAACCGGACAACGACGCATACATGCCCAAGACCGGTTAACATTCCGCAACAAAACAGAACCGGCAAAAAATGTTCGACCAGAATCTGCAGTTGTAGCCTTTTGAGGGAGTCTGCACGAGGATGACTCAAGCAAACATGGGCCGCCCTAGACATGATGGGGATGTCCTTGTTGCATTGTTGGTCCCACTGTAATGTAAGGTATCCATTATCGACGAACCTAGTCTGAGGACCACACCCTGAAGGTCTTCACCCTCCACAATCCTATTGGTCAAAGGATATCGTATACCTTTATATTCTGTCACGTGATACCAAAACCTCTAACAAAAAGGCAAGCCTGGGTTTACAGAGTCCCCGGCGCAAGCGGTCTACTGGTGGCGAAAGCTTCCGGAGTTCACGGTAAGGAGTTCCCAGCCTGATGATCGGGACCGAACATTTAGGGGGGGTTTAGGGTTTACGGTTCGGGGGGGGGGGGGGGGGGGATTGGAGGGCCTTTCTGGCTTTTGCTTACCCTTGCTGAGTAGGGGATGGAGGAATGGGGTACAATTATCACTACTACTACTACGACTACTACTACTACTACGACGATTCTTCCATTCCCTACTAACCAAAGGTAAGGAAAGTCGTTCGAAATTCGAAACCATGGAAACCTACATGCTAAACGCCTGCAGCCTGCTCTCTGAGCCGGCACTCCCCTGCCTAAAAGCCGTTAAACACGAGATGGCCGAAACCGTAAAGCCCTAAAGCCCACAAACCGTCTAACCCTTTACACCCCCAGAGGCCCAAACACCACCCACTCAAGCTTTCTAAACCGCACGACCCCCAAGACCCATAACCCCTCCCAGAAAATCAAAAGTAAAATCCGAAACACCAGCAAACCCGAAAGAGGTTTCGGCTGACCTTCTGGCAACTCAGGGCTAGGTCTTTCGGACTTGAGGCTACTATGGCTACTATCGGGGCCTGAATAATCAGAATAGGGTTTTGGGGGTTCCTTATTATATAGTTATCGTATTACGGGCTTGGCTGACGAATGCTGTCCCTCCAGGGTTTACACTCTCACAATTCGGACAAGCCAAGCAACGATCCATCGGTGTGGGTCGAGGGGTTTGGTTCATGTAGGGGCTTAGGTGTAGGGTTCAGGATTTTGGGTTTCTGGGTTTATGCTCTCGCAACTCGGACTCCTCCAGACGAGGTTCTGGGTTGAGAATTTTGCGTTTCCGGGCTTGCGCCTTCAAACAGTTTGGGGTAGAGCGGGTTATATACATGCATAATTATGGGTTGCTTTCAGTCAGTATTAGGAAACCCAAAACAACGCGTGTACAAAGGATCGCTGTTCGGCTGGCCAAGACAGGTGTATGCACGGCGTAAGCTAGGGTTCTAACGCAAGCAGCTGGTTTCAGTTCGGGGCTTTTGAGCTCTCGATGCTCTCGGAATCGTCCCAGGCTGATACGGTGCGGATGAAGGATAATGCCAGTTCGCGAACAGAAATCAACGGATTTGTTCATGCTATAGTTACTAAAGTTCATATACGTATGTGCATGCACATATCTAGAATCTAGAATCCAGCAGAAGACCTTTATCTGCACATCTATATGCGTATGTACATAGGCAGGAAAATGTGTATTTGTGGTAAGTACGGTACGAATACTCAAATGTAGCATGCACATATACACAGCAATGGTGCGCATGTAGACTCAAGATATTTCGCGAGCTTGACTCAAGCAGCACAGCAGACCCTGGAAATTTAAATCTACGCCCGAACACATCAATAAGAACACAGTTTCACACACTCACACTATTCCGACCTGATGCTCTAATCCCTCAACCCTTATCCAGCCTCCGCAGCTGCTCCAGCAAATCCCGGACCGGCGACGACTGGGGCAGATTTGTCGTCAACATCAAAAGCAACAAACTAAAACAATAAGCCGTAACAACCTGGTCATAACCGCAGAACCTTTCTGGATCACTTAAAGAGCCCGTGTAGTAATATGGGGCCATAAAATTCGGGAGCCCCTTTCTACTATACTTATATACAGGACCCCGCAAAAAAAAAGTAGTATTGGTAACTACTTAGGCCCCTGTATTACATTCATCGCTCCTTTACTTAGTTTACTTAGGCACAAGGGATCCCAGCCCAATAAACAAACGGTCCAGCAATTATGGTCGTTTTGTGTATAAATCCCAAAAGGACATAGGCTGTCTAATATGTAGCTTTGATGATTAGAACAAGGTTTCGAGTAAATATTGTAATTAGAATGAAGAACCCCAGAGTAGTATTGGTGGTGATTTTAAGCCAATATACTGCTAAGTTGAACCCTCTACACTAGCCCATGCCCGGAAGTCGGACCCCTGATCTTCATTGGGAAGAGCCCTGCACCTCTAAGGTTTTTTTTTGAGTCCGGGGGGCTGTGGGAGTGCACCTTTTTCCACAAAATCTAAGTATCGCATTGTCGAGCCATCTAATGAACCACCTGCGAGAATCTGATACAGGCAGACGCACACATACTTAAACGAGCATTCATTCAACTTTTTTTACACACATGTATACCAAGGTATGAGTACACAACTGACATTCTTTCTTTCTCGTTCGCAAGCTGTTATATCGTTGCCACGGAAGCTCAAACAGTCTTTCTTGGTTTTCTCGTTTCGTATCTCTGAAGCCATGTCGGAGTTTCGTGGTGATCATATACCAGGTTTGCTTCGTGAACTTGGAGGGCGGGATGGCGCACTTACATTCGATGAGGCTATCATGCGCATAGATATATATGAAGAATAAAGATATACGGATAAATGTATATACATATGTCTATATATATATATATATATAATAAATATCCATACAAATACGGATATATATATATATATATATGTGTATATACCCTCATATGTATGTGTGACATTGTGCATAATAGAGAGCTCGGCATATGTATAAGTATATATATATATATATATGAATATATATATATATATATACATATTATACTGTGCCTTACATTAATCGACAAATGTCGACTTTTCACTATTCATACATAGTTACATGCACATATCTGGGTGTGGAGCATGCTTCTAGATGTAGTACAAACTTCTGATCTATAAATGATATTTTATATGATTATATTCCTATTATTATCACCAACCATGCCTTTTGCATTAATACTCTTATCAATACATTTTAAGATAATAACCGAATATTCAATCCAAATATAGACAACAATAGCACTAGATATACGAAACTTTTCAATACACACCAAACCGAAATTCTATAGATTACCAGCAACAATTGCGTTGTAAAGTGGCACATACATGTATTTATCATATTTTAATTATAGTCATATTCAGAAGAATAATCGGAATATTAAAAGCATATTGGGTTACCAGCAACAAATGCGTTGTAAAGTGGCACATACATGTATTTAGCATATTCCATTTATAGTCATATTCAGAATAATCGAAATATAGTCATTTATAGTCATATTCAGAAGAATAATCGAAATATAGAAAGCATATTGATATGTGGACAAGCTAAACATATAAATCAATGAACAAATCCTCTAACACGAACGAAATATAATTTAACATACAAGCATAATATGTTCTTTAAGCTTATAAAGTTGTTGGCCAATACAATATATAGATATGCACCCATTTAGGAAAGCCTACGTCTTCCAAATAATTGACGTCATATAGAGATTTGCATACAGTAAGATAACATATAATCAAGATTATGAAAATCGACAATAACGAACCAGTATCGTAATAACGAACATGAGATTAAAGATAAAACTTCTATTAGTATCCTATTACGATATTTAAAATTAGCAAATATTTTTCTTATACAATAACGTTATGAAAACAAATATATAATTATACAAACAAATGAAATAAGCTAGATTCACTAATTATGCCTTCAGTTTTTACTTGCGAAAGAAAACAAGGTTTCACATAGAACAGTACTAGTACTTTATTTTTTGTATCAACACAGTTGACACATGCATTTCAAAAATAGGTACTCATACATATTCACGTATATATACATATACATATATATATATAGCACACATGCATACTTACATATTTCCCACGCACAGGTATCTATACACATCCAAGTTTTCTAGTATACTAAGAAGAGCCTATGTGAGATTATAATAAGATTGAATAACTATACCAATTTACAACAATATAACCACCAGTACTATACACTTTGTTTTGTTTGAAAAATATTCACAAAAAGTATCGACGAATCGGTATCTACCTATATATTTCAGAGACCCATTTAATAGTCCTCGTATTAACACTAAAAATGGTAGTTACTGTAAAACAAGCGGAGTTCGACAGATAATTGATCGCTATATCACGCAGGCCCGAGTAGCCTACAAGAATGACGAAGGCATAATTAATGAATCTAGCTTATTTCATTTGTTTGTATAATTGTTTATTTGCTTATCATAATGTTATTGTATAAGAAAAATATTTGCTAAATTTGAATATTGTCATTGGATACTAATAGAAGTTTAATCTTTAATCTCATGTTCGTTATTACGATACTGGTTCGTTATTGTCGATGTTCATAATCTTGATTATATGTTATCTTATTGTATAGAAGTCTCTATATGAAGTCAAGCAGGGATACCCAAATAGCAATCCATATAGAACTATGTAGTGTTTGCTTGTGTGTGTACGATATGAAGTCTGCACTCAAGGTGACGTCGCTGTAGTTCTGATGCGCCTCGCATACCCACAAAGCTTCTCATCATCATGAGAACAAAAAGTGCTGATGTGCAAGTGTGGTTTTTCGCACTGCTATCTAGTCGTATACGTTGGCCATGCTACGTTATGTCCCTGGGAGTGCGCATCTGCCGTGATTTACGCGCGAGTCTTTCGAAAAAACCAAAAAAAACCAAAAAAAACAAAGAAACCAACAAAAACCAATTATCAGAGACTCCTGGACTGAGGTGTCCATGGCCGGAGAGTGTCAGATCTTTGGTTTCTTTGGTTTTTTTGGTTTTTATGGTTTTTTTGGTTTTTATGGTTTTTTTGGTTTTTATGGTTTTTTTGGTGCTTATGGTTTTTTTGGTTTTTATTGTTTTTTTGGTTTTTATGGTTTTTTTGGTTTGTCTGTTTTTTTGGTTTTATGGTTTGTTGGTTTTTTTTGAAAGACGCGCGCGCGCGTAAATCACGGCAGAGGCGCACTCCCAGGGTCCCCCGTTCTGTTTTTTTTTCACCTCTAAGGTTTAGGGTTTAGGGTTGACGATTTCGTTTTTCTTTGCTAAGGCTTAGAAGTTTAGAGGTTAGCGCGAACTCTCGCAGGGTCTTGGGAAACGTAAAATCGGATCTGCAGTGATGTGGGTTCCTAAGTAGTCTCTGTAAGACATGGGTACCTTTCTTCCTACTACTAAGTCTTGAGGAGCAGAGCCCTGACAGAAGGTGTTTAACTGTTTAACGGTAGTACCGGGCGACCGCACGATACACATTCCGGGGCCACTCTTGGCTCCAGCTACTTTGGATTCTTCGGTTTGGCATATGACCGGGAGGGTGGCTCCAATCCAAGATCTCCGGGGAACGAAAACTGTCCACAAAGTCTCTGTCTCAGCCTCTGTAGCTTCAGCCACGATTTGGAGGACCAACTTTTTATTGGGCCGAATAAAACATCCCAGTAGGCACTTAGACCTGCAGAGCCAGACACGAGAGCTTGGGACACGAACCAACCACTCCGCTTCAACCATCTGCGCAACACATGTGTGCCTGTCGGACTGGCAATAAGGGAAGAGTCTTTGCAACAGAGATGCTACATGGGTCGCTAAAACAACCTGAACAGCTGTAAGCCGAGCATTGTAAATCCTGCTTTCTACAGCCCATTAACACGAGCCAGAACCCAACCGCTCTGGATCGAGCCTGTGGATTGTTCGAGTTTGACACTGACCTTGGTCGGCGAAGATTGAACAGAGGTTTGCAGAAGAGAAAACTGAGAAAAAGGTAAGGTTCCCGTCTCATCTCTCTCTCTCTCTCTGTCTCTCTCTCTCTCTCTCTCTCTCTCTCTCTCTCTCTCTCTCTCTCTCTCTCTATATAACTATATATACATATGTATACAGACGGTTATATCCATTTCAGCAGCAAACGCACAGCCTTCCTCCACCTGTCTTGTGCTGTTACCTGTCAATGCACAGTCTGCAACCTGCAACCCAGCGGCCACATACCCAACAGCCGTCACTTCAGTTCCCAAGCCTCTAATGATGTGGTTGCATGTCTTTACAGGCGGCTCGATCGCAAGATCGAATTCCTACCCCAATCCCGTGGATACAACTCTGAATCAAAATCCAATTCTATTGACGCCTGCAGGCTGCATCAAACCCGCAAGGTGGTTGAAACAGCAAGACAAGGAGCAGTAGTCTAGCACGGGGTCCAGAGCAGCTTAGGTGTTAGGGGTTTTAGGGTTCATGTTGAAGCTTTGCTGTGGTACAGCAGTGCCATAGAGCTGGACGAAACACGACACCAACTGCCTTGAGCAAGAACAATGACTCGACTCCACACCTTCGACCTCCGAGTCTGGATGACGAACACGAGCCACTCAGGCCCTTCACCCCACTAGACCCTAAACCGCAGCCTGAAAAGTGAAACCCCTGAACCCCAACCCACCCACCACCCTGACGTCCCCTTATCTCCTCTCCGCCTCTCCGCAAGAAGACCAGAAAATCGGGGCCCCAACGCGTAGGGCTCTGGTCGAGGGGCTCGGTGCTCCTCTGCCGTTTATCCGGGAATCAAGAGTTGAGGGCCGAGATGTAGGGCTTATAGGATGCCTATAGGCACTTATAGGGTTTAGGGTGAAAGAATAGGGACTTATAGGGTTTCAGGGTTGAAGGAAGCTTAGAAGTTTTCGGGCCGAGGCTGTTGCGCTTCAAGTGTGCATCATAGCAGCACTCCCCGGCAGCCGGTGTGTCTAGACACATCGTCCACATCTGCTGCAGACATGTTTCCGAACTACTGCAGGTTCACAGACTCCCTTAAGACTGCAAGAGCCGCAAGGCTATGCAGTACGTGAGCTGCTGCTGAAAAGAAGCCCATCTGAGGCTGCATGGAACATGCAGTTGGAACAGGCAGAACATAGACACTTGCTCAGACATGGTCACCAAGCAAGGCCCATTCACATGGAACCGTCATGAACCGACGCAGATGAACAGCGGGTGGGGTGCACGGTTCAGGAAAGCTCAGGGAGTTTGGCCCCCAAAAGGACAATAACAATGACACTAATGACAGTAAGAAGAAGAGTTACAAAAAACAAGAACAACAAGAAGACTAATAATAACAATAAGAATAAAACTAAGCAAAGCAATAGTAATGAGGCAGTGAGAATCATGGTGATGTAGTACACTACAATCGGAGCCCGCCTTCGCCGTCCTGCCGCCGCCATCCATCAACCTTCCAGTTACCACCTTGGCAGGAAGTCTACTTCTCGCACGTACAACATATGTTTGCCCTTCTACATAATAGTAATATAAACAACAATAATACGAATAATAATGATAATAGTAATAGGAGTAGAAATACACAAATTAATATAAAAATACTAACAAGAATAACAAATTTTGAGTTAGACTAAGACAATTGATGATTAACAAGTCCACATCAACATTGGCACCCCTAGACGGACGTGTCAGTAGTTTGCCCTACAACCCGGAGAAGAAGCACGCATAACACCTCTCGTGCAGGGACCCAGGCACTCGCACGTCACACAGGAGAGGAACACATGCGCAAATCTTTCAACGGCATGTGCGATGATTCTAGAAGCCTGGCTACAGCTTTGGGGCTTCAGGGCTGAGGCCAGGCTTGTGGCAGGTTGTGCTTGCGGTTTAACTGTCGATGCCCTCGGGCCTCAGCATCCTCCATGCTCGGACGCAGCCCAGGGCCCGGATCCGCGTGAAACAAGGCCAAACGGGCCGGTGGTGCGATACCCTAAGGCCCTGTAAGGGCCTGATATGCAGCTGATATGCAAGGCTGTACAGCAAAGTGATACCACTACACCAATGTTGGCTTTTGCGGTGTCCATCAACTGCAAGCTGGACTTGGAGCATGTGCAAGCCCACGGATGTTGAGTAGGGTGCCTCTGCCCGGCCATACCCATGACGGCTACGCGATGTCTCACACTGTTGCTGCGATGCAGCGCTCATGTATGTTTAGCAGCACCTGCATTCACAATCGTCGATCCGAGAACAGTGCAGCACAAGCAACAGAAGGACTACATTGGTTTCAAGATGTTTCAAGCGTGAGATTTGTGGATGTAACGCTCGTGCATCTACCCCAATTTGCGGAAGGGCAGAAGACACTTGGATCAGGTCTTTTATATACCGAAACCTGATCGTCACTCCGGCGTATAATTAAAATACCAACACAATGACCTGGTTAAGCTACTATCCCGACAGATGCGTCGGGAATCATCACAGTTCGGGCATGAGGTAAGGAAACCGTCAGCACTCAAAAGTGAAGGTGTCATAACCTAGTGTTGTGCAGGGGTTTTGGCCCTCCAGGCACGCTCTACGGTAGCTTCTTCTAGCACGCAGGCTTGCCGGGGTCAGGCGGGACTCTATTGGGACGATTCGGACATGTTCTTCCTGACTGACCCCTAGGCCTCTCTAATATCTACGCTCTAGATTATGACCATAAGCATTTATAACACTTATGCAAGACCGTATTTGCTGATTGAACCCGAACCGTATATTAACGAATCAACTAAACCAAACTTAAACCCCCAAGTCCCCAAAATTAGCCCAAAGCCCTCCATCCCTCAGAACCCGGAAGGCTCTGAGCCTAAGACTCTTGAACCCGCAACCCTCGACATGTAATTGTAGGGGCCTTAATCATTAGAATAGGCTTTTGGGGTACGTTACTCCATGCTTATAATAAGGAACCTGCAAACTAGTAGAGGTAACTATGAAGGCCCAAAAATGCCAGAAACCAGGGCATGACTTCCATTTGTACCTAGAGGCTCCATGGCCGTTCATTGTAGGGATTCATATTTAGAATCCTGTAAGGTAACCTCAAAAAGGAACTACTATGGAGCCTATGGGTAATGTAGGAGTTCGGGTGGATTTTCAGGTTTGGGGCTTATCCGGGTTTATAAGGGTCTGGTTTGGGATGTATAGGGTGTAGGGTTGGGGTCACGGTAGAGGGTTTGGGGCGAGTTTCGGGTGTTCTTCCATGTCTACGGTTTTATCCGGGCAATCAGATGGAGTTCTTGCGGGGGTTATATCCTACAGATTTCCTTCTTGGATAACTCATAGACTACCCAGGACGACAACTCCAAGGTTCAGGTGAGCCTTTGTTCGGATCGTCAAAAAAAGAAGTCTGCCAACTGCGCCCTTGTTGGTTCCTGCTTAGGGTGCCAAGTGTCTTAAATTGCGGCGGTGGTTCAACAGACAAGAAAAACATAACGACAGCTTTAAAGTGCGGGTAGCCCCTAATTAACTTCTAAACAAACAGTATACACTCAACCCTAACCCCCTAAAGCAGAAAGCGCCGAAGCCCAAAACCCGGAATGTACAGCCCTAAGGCTCTGCAATGCAAACGAAAAGGACATAGCAGAATCGGAAAGAAGAGCCGCACTACCGGATCCAGAACGCAGGAATCTTTGACTTAAGGCCCTATAAGGGTCCAGTACATACCTTGTCATTGAAGTAGTCTCTTTACAATGCTTCCTCTTACTCGTAGGGTTGTCAGAAGTGCATCCGATACATGAGAGCTAGGCTGCGACATGCCAGGTAGAGCCGCATCTGACCCTTGCCCGGGAACCTGAAAAGCCCTTGACGCTTACTGCTTGAGGCTGCTAAGATGCGATGATGGGGTAAAACTGGGGTCTGAACGACTGGTACTAGAATACCCCTGCTGATAGTCCATGTGTAACTACGTCTGTTTTTTGCTGGGTTCCCAGCTCCTCTTCCAGTTTTTAAGCCGCCAAATCTGTATCCGTAAACCCCAATACAAAACACCGAGACCCCAGTTACAGTAGGTGAACTCATAAGCTGAAGCCCCGTTGGCACTGGAAGCCCTCACCCCAGGGAACCCTGAGCCCTAAACCCTAAACCGCAAACCCCCGAAACCCCCAACCGAAACCCCGGTGGGCGTGGCTCGAAACCTCTCTGCCCTGCTCCTCGGAAGCGTCCTGACGGAAAAGCTCAGCAAAGGAATGCTTCTGCATTAAGTTGCTGTGTTGAGGTTTCCGGAAGTGGGAAGGGTTGGCGCTTTAGGAAATTACAAATTTCGGATTTAGGATGTTCACAGTTTTAATCGTTTGCGCCTGTATGAACTTGAGGGATGGAGGGATCCCGACTTTCGAGGCTTTGGTCTTTGAGCTCATCTTCCTCTTCGTTCCCTGGAACCTCTTCCTCTTCGTAATCTTCTTCTCCCTGCTTGGGGCGGCCTTTCCCGTCTGCTTGGGGGTTTGTAGCTCTTTGGGGGGGTGTATAAGCTGCCACCAGTATAAGAGGATATACCGTGAGGCTTGGGGGGCTCTAAAGGGGCTTAGAGATGGGAGTATCAGGCTTGTTGCGCTCTGGGCTCCTCTGGTTTGCTGCGGGCGGAAACCCACAGCGAGGGTGAATGCTAATCCCTGTTTAAGAACCCCAAGCCCCCCCATGCAAGCAGAATCAAAATTACACATACCGTAATGCCTAAGCCCACCGAAGGAAGGGGCGATCGCTGCTCCGAAATCCCAAAACCCTGCAAGTCCATGTTGAACAAAGGTGCTGTGCTGATAGCCCCAAGCACTAAGCTCCAACCCTTATCAAGCCCTCTTCGGGCCCTCCTAGACCTCAAAGACTGAGGCGCAAGCCCCTTTCTGGGTGGTCGGGAGCCCTCAATAGGATGGAACCATTGAGATAGTATCGAAGCTTGGAGCGATCCTAAACCCTCAGTCTTGAAGACCAAAAAACTACACTAAAGCCTATAAACCCTATAAAACCCTAAACCCTTCTTGGGTGGCGCCTGATCCAACCGAAGGAAGCTGGCACTGGCAGAGGACATCTCCAAGAAGGGAGCCTGAAGCTCGCAATGAGACAGCGGGTACTACGACGGCTGTGAAGGATATGGGAGTTTCCGAAGATTGGGGGTACCTTATTTGGGGGGTCCATTTTAATGAGGATCCTACTATTTAGGGTACTATATTAGGGTCCCCTATGTACGAAAACTCCCATAGAGTAATCCCACTACCTTCCTTAACCCTGAACCCGCAAACAAAAACTAAGCGGGTGATGCTGCGCAGGAGTTGGGGGCCTAATGCACTAAGCTTTGGGAGCGATACCATCCAGCAAAGGTCGAAGGATTCCCTTAAGGGTTGCTATAAGGGTGCTATAGGTCATCCCAAGCCTCCCACCCTACGCCCTACACCAAATAGCCTGAACCTGAAACAATCCCTAGAGACAACCCGCAAGACCTTCACAACCTAACCATGCACCCCGAAAGCTCAGCCCAACTGTCCAAGCATTAGCTTAATGCCTTTGAGGACGACAACGTGGCAACTTGACTTTTGGGGCTTCGTAAGAGCCCTGAATGTCCCCCTCCCCCTCGCCCCCATGATAAACTCACATTCCCAGCACCCCAACCCCGAACCTCAAGCCACAAATTCAAACCCCTAGAATCCTGGAACCTGAATCTTAAAGCCTCAACCCTGAACTCTGTGTCCGTCTGAAGGCTTCAACCCCCCAAACCCCAAACCCAGATCAAATTCAAACTCCCATAGCCTCATAAACCCAAAGAACTTCCTATACTCGAAATTGAGACACTCTACAGTAGAAGCCCAAAAGTTGGAAATCCACTAATAGCCTCCTTTCGGGGGTTTACCCTAAACTCTGAAGCCCCTAAAGGGCTCCTTAAAGGGATCTGCAGGGTTCCTTAAAGGGCTCCTTAAAGGGATCTGCCCCGAAAGCTCCAGAACGCCTTCAGATCCCTCCTCGAACCTTAAACCCTTTTTTTCCATCCCAATACCCTAAGGCCTAGTTTTTTGGGGTGGTTCCCATTTTTTGGGGGGTTCCTATATAGAATCCTATAATAAGGTAAGTGGGTATCATCACTACAGCTGCCCTAAGGCCCCGAAGTAGTTCTTTTTTGGGGTTCGTATGTAGAACCCTATAAGGTAATCCCACAAAGGAACTACTATGGGGCCTCTGGGTAGGGTAAGACACCAAAATTATGGATTAGAGCCCCCCCCACCCTACAATGTAGCACGCCTTTGGCTCCGCAACTCTCGGCACTTGAACCCTCAAGCCCTGTCCTGAAGCCCCCAAGAATCCTCAAGCTCCAAAGGCCTTAAACTCTGAACCCCCAACCCAAAAAAACCTGAACCCCCAAACCCCACAATCCTCAAACCCACCAACCACAAAGCCTGAAGCCCTAAACCCTCAGGCCCCCCCAACCCCCCAAATCCTGAATCCTCAAAGCCTCAATGCCGAGGTCACGGCAAAGCCCACCCCAGGGAGGAAGTCGCTGGGATCCTCCTCTTCCGAAAGGAGCTCCAGCCTAGGAGTGCATACATCCATCTGTCCGCTATCCAGTTATGCATGCATACATATGTACATACATGAACTACATGTGCCTATACCTATCGCCGTACCTTCATCTACATACTTAACATTTAGACCCATACATATACCTATATAATATAAACGTACATATACATGTACATATAGACCTACACATGTATGTTTGTTCATCTTAATGTGTATGTATATATATATATATATATATGTGTCTGTTTGTGGGCGTGGGCTGCACATATAGGTATACATCGGTTTATATTTATGTCTATTTGTAAATAAATATATAAATATATATATATATATATATATATATATATTCACGTATGTGAAGTATTTGTATGCATATGTAACGTGTATGTGCATATATGTGTGACTATAAATGTAGGTATGCATATGAGTATAATCAGCTATACACGTGGCTGCCTCCCTGCCTGCATGGATGGATGAATGGATGGACGGATATGCGTATCTGCATACGTACGTAAATGGAATGTTCGGTTGCGTTGATTGTTGTTGCTGACATTATTTCTTGGTTGCGGTAATTTGCTGTCTATGTGCGTATGCTTTACTTCTTTGCTCAGATTTTCATTTTGTTTTCATTAATATCCTTTCGTTCGGATCTTCAAACACGTTTAAAAAGATCATAGAAGTAGCTGTGTTTCTATCCAAATTTTGGTCTGGGATTCTCAAGCTTGCCGAGCTGGGAGCCCTGGGGTCTGAACTGAATTGGGAGTTTCCGAAAATAGGGGACCCTGGGGTTCCTTTAAAGGGTTCCTTAAAGGGATCTATCAGGGTTCCATAAAGGGTTTAGGGTTAGTGAGTTTCCGAAAATAGGGGACCCTAATATGGTACCCTAAATAGTAGGACCCTTATTACAAGGGCCCCCAAAATTTGGTACCCCTATTTTCGGAAACTCCCAATTCAACTGCGGGTCAATGTTTCGCGAGTTGACTCGGACTCGTTTACAATTCAGTTAAATCAGTAGTAACCAGTGACATGAATCAGCTAATTGATTTAAAGCCTCAGGGCTCTTTGGTTTTAGGGCTGGATTTACGCTCTCACAACTCGGACACAGCCAGGCGAGGTTCTTAGGTGCGGAGTCGGTGTGAAAAGAAGCTGAGGCCGATTCTCACAGGGCTGGATTTGGGGTTCAGGGGTTTGCTGAGCACGCCTGTGTCAACTTGTGAGCTGATGGACACGGGTCGGGGTTGAACCACCACGGGCTTGGTATGGCTTTGCTTCAAGGGGTTTGGAGCTTCCGGAACAAGACTATAGTACATAATATGTGGTGACTTTAGTGTGGAGGGCTTGATGTTGTGGGTTAAGATTCGAGGGTTTGGAGCTTATTCAGGACAGCTGCGGGCGATTTCTTGTCTTGTTTAGTCGAGCATCGTGTGGTTTTAACCCTACCTTACTTACTAAATCCCCAACCCTATATAATGGCCACAGAACAAGATCGTAAACCCGGAAGGCCTTAAATAACGGAGGGGTCGAGGTGTTCAGCATGATGTAGAAACCTGAAATATCCTAAAAAGAGGCCCTCATCTAGTGGCAGACTTTGCGGGTTCTGGAGTGTGAGTGCTTTTTGCACTGCACAAAGCGCACGTGTACGTGCATATTTTCCTGGTTGTGGCTAGATGCTTCTGCGGTAGATCCACCAACCAGACACTGCAAATTTGATTGAGCTGCACTGAGCTTTGGGTTTCCCGTCCGTCAGCATGAAGGAAGTTACACGTGACAGCTTACGTCGCGCTGGATGCCGTCATAGCAGAGCTTCCAGCTCAACAGCTCTTCGTCGAAGTCGTGCACGCCACGACGGTGCACAGGCTGATGTCAGCCCGGTGGACCCTCAATTCCTACCGGGTTTGGAGCTTATGTTAACTTCTTGGGTCCAACTGCAGGAGTTACTGAGCCTCAAGAGTCACGCAGCGAGGCGGGCGTACTTAGGTTTTCGACATTGGAGGTCTGAAGAAGTCCCGATATATAGTTTATAATCCTCACATGACTATACCAGCTCAGAGTTTCCCCATCCATCAGGACCCTATATTCAGTGGCACTCGGGGTTACATAGACCGTTGTGTATACACGATGAGTAGTACGCATGTGAACTATCTCGCATCTGTATACAGACATTTTCACTTGGAAGCATGTGTGAAATATCTGTTCGCGTGCATCGGAGCACATTGACTTTCATCTTCGACCCTCTTGCTGCTACCGGAAGTACCAGACCACGGGGATCATAGCATATTCATATTACCCATTTCCGAGAATGCCCCTTCTTCGGAAACCTTACAGACAAGTAGCGGCAAAACTCTGTTGTAAAGCTCAATTCACATCAAGCAATCAAGCAATCCCTATATGATCCTAGAAGACCCAAAACTCTAAACGCCAAACACCTGAATTTCAACCTGGGGCCCTTGGCTGCGCGAGATTCGCCGGATGGTCGCAGAGGTAAGCAGCCATCGAAGACAGGTTCAGCTGGAGCCAGGGCGCCTGAAGTCGCGGGATTTTCCGTAAAACCGACCTTGGGATCCTTACTAGGATTTCTTGTACGTGTCCTTGAAAGGGTAGGTTGTTCTGGGAGAAGGTAGGGTGAAATGCTTGTAGGCTTACGCGGTTGGGTTGTGCAAGAACAGATTTCCTTCTTTGTTTTTGAGATGTGGGGCAGGCGGGCCGGGACTGTTAGTTGCAGCAGGGCTCGTAGGGCTCTAGGTTGCAGAATGGGGGCTTCACCCGGACCGCCAACTCGTAGCAGTAGCAATATGATTCTGTGGGAAACTTTCGTATTAGTATGGGACCCTGGAAACGTAAGAGCACGTTAAACAACACGCCGTGGCTTCGAGTCACACCACATTCGTATACTGGACGGCGTGCTCAAGCCTGCCGAACTGCAACCTGCAATGCGTACACCGGCACCAAAGCCTATACCGTGCATGGGACGGCCTGCGCCTGAGAGCCCCGAAGAACAGCACCAGCATGGCTGACATGGAGGACCTTGGAGAACGAGGAAAGTATCTTTCGAGTCGAGTCCGGTGGCAGGGTTAGGAGTTTGGGGTCGATGTTGAAAAACAAAAACAAGGTAATACGGAGTAATCTAGGCGTGCCAGACCCTGAGCCTGTTTTGGGACAGCCTACTTTCATCGGCAAATTGTAGAGCATCTTTGATCACGCAACCGTGACATGGATCTTCACCCTAAGCCCTTTTACGCAGGCTCGATTGGAGCTCGCCCGGCCAACCCTGAACCTTGAACCCCTAATATAGAAGCCTAAATCCCTAAACGCTAACCCCTACATCCTAAAGCCCAAGTACCTCAACCCAAAACCCCTAAACCTTAAAGCCAAATCCCTTAATGCAAAACCCCTAAACCATAAAGCCTAAATCTCTAAACACTTAACCTCTTATAAACCTGAAGCCTAAATCCCTGAACTCTAACCCCTAAAGCCTAAATCCCGCAACCCTAAACCCCTAAACCCTAAAGTCCCTAGAGCCTAAATCCTAACCCCTAAACCGCAAAGCCTAAATCCCCGTTTGCAACTGGGCTTGAGGACCAAGCCTAAATTCTCAACCCTAACCCACGAACCCTACAGCCTAAATCCCTAAACGCTGAACCCCTAAACCGTCTAGCTTAAATGCCTCAACCCTGAAATGGCGACATTAACGGAGGCCTTGAAGTAAGACTCCCCTACGCCGCGAACCCTCGAAGGTTCAGTCATGTCTTCTGTGCTCCAACCCTCCAAAACTAAAACCTCGGTGCTGCCCTAAACCCCGAAATTCCCCCAAACAGCTGAATCCCTAAACCCTTTTTTCAAAAGGAGCTGCAGTGCACCGGCATTAAGACCCTCAGCCCTAGGCCCTACTACTACGGTTGATGATATAGATCCTGCATTACTTTAAGCACCCCCAACTATGGGAATCATGGTATATTCCTTATTGAGGGTACTGCAGGATTCATATCATCAACAGCAGCTTGTTTCTTTCTTGTCCTTGCTCTTGTTAGATAAGATATTGGGACTCGCCGGTGAGGGCCCCGACCAATCGCCACTTGTCGCTGTCAGTGCCTCGATCCTGGCCACGGCTTAGGATTTTGTTTGACACTCACACTCGGACAAGCCTGGCAAGGTCTGCAGCAATATACGGTCGACGACACATTAACTGGCTCACGGGACCGTTATCGTTCTGTAAGCCCAGCTGGTTAAGGGTTCACGGCGTCTAAATAAGCACATCTCAAGTACCAATGGCCATCGGGTTGACATGGCGGCGCCTTTCTTATTACTGTCAAAGGTCGTCTGGTTGCCTATTGCGGACAGGCTTCAGGGCCTAGTCTAATTAGTCCCCCTACAATTTTAGTCTATAGGGTTCCGGGTTTAAGGTTTCTTTCCATTGCGTCTTTCATCATTCCAAGGCTTCGGCCTTTGGATCTTCGGATCTCTGCTTTAACTTCAGAGCTCGGAATCTAGAAACTTCGTGAAATTCTCGTCATGCAGACCCCCAGAGCATTCTTCTGCTACTGGACTGAAGTCTCGCCGGAACCGAAGACCAAACCCAAATTTGAAGTGTAAAGTCTAAAGCCCGAAGCTTTCAACGTCATTATAGGGCCCGTATACTACAGAACCCTACTATAGATCCCTTATAGTATCCCTTTAAACGAACCCCTATTCCAATCATCAAGGCCACAGAAGATGCCAGCCTTTGGTGGTGGCATCGGCACAGCAAGCCCTTGCGGGCCTTGTCGGTTGGGGGTTTGGGAATGACATAAGGACTTGCACAACGTACGGTACAACAGTTTTGCATGAACGGGGTGTGCAACACTTCACCCGAAACCCTTAGCTTTCCTAAACCCTGAGGAATGGTAAATCATGGTAAGCTTCATGGTGTGGGGTGGGGGTTTCCGGCTTTGGGGCTTTAGGGTTTGGGGCTAATTAAGGTTCTGAGGGCTTGGCTTTCGACGCTCGCACGCTTTGCATATGAATGATCTGCGGGCCACGCTGCTGAGAGGTCACGGAGCGCAGCGAGGGGCGACAAGGGACAGAGTCCGGTATGCCGGGCGGTACGCATTTTGTCTCTCTCAGCTTGTTCATGTCGCACAGTTTTGCATTCAGTCAGCATGGCTTCTTGTTCCTTGGTCAATTCGCTCTGCTGGAGTAGAACGTCCAAATCCCTCGCCTTCCCAGCAGAAAAGGGAGAAGGCCGCCCACATCTGGCTGACAGCTCCAGCGCATCCGTCGCAAACCTACAGTGCTCGATGTTCTTCGCCACTCCACGGATCAATCCATTGGTCTGGCGGTTCAGTGAGTGTGGCTTTAAGGGTTCGAGCTCAGGCTGTACGGTTTAGGATTGTGCCTCCTCAGCGACACCAAGCTACCCTAAACCCGCCCGAAGATAGATTCCCAAGACTATGTAGTGGCGGTTGGGTATAAAGGATTTCTCACAGACACCCTGACTTGTAATGGAAGGGTAACCAAGCTTTCATGGCAGGCATCCTTGAAAACCCAGGGTAACTACGGGGCGAGGTAACACTCGAAGCCGTGATATTCACATCCCACGAAGCCCCAATTCCCAAACCCTAAAACGCTCAAATCTCAAGGCAGAGTCTTGGGAGTTGGATCTAAAGCACTCCTGGGTCTATGAGTCTGGAAATGCCCGGCTCAAAGTCTGTGGTTGAGTAGATCGAGGGTATTTCGGGGTCTTAATAGTTGGAACACGCTCGTTAAAGCTGTCGTGGGTTGCAGCTGATCCTTCAGATTGCACAGCTGCCATGAGCCCTAAACCGTGAACCCTAAACCATCGAACCCGCTTGGCCGAAAGTGCCGTCCCGGAAATTTCGAAGCTATGCTATTTACAGCAGGAAGGCCGCAGAATCCCGACACCCCTGTGATTGTATTAGACTGTATAACAACCTAAAACCCGGAAGCCCAGGCTTTGGACGTAAACCGCAAAAGTCGCGTGGAGCCTTAAAAACCCTTACGCCACCGCCCCAAAACCCCCCAAAGGCCCCTGCTGGTTACGGGCCATGCCGCACCCAAAGACTCGCTCGGGACATCCAACAGGCCTGTGCATGTACATTCGGGGCTTCAGGACACCCAGGATCCCCCAAAGTGGCCCTACTATAGTCGAACCTTCTTCAACGGTTCGTTAAAAGGATCTACAGTTCTGGGTCTCGGGTCAAGTTTCATCAAACTCCCATTCTCTGCGACATCATTCTCAGAGTGCAAGCGATTCATGTAGGCTTCTACTGCAAGATATTATGTAGGGCTGTGTGAAATCTGCAGGGGATTCAATCGGGGTTTCGGGCTTTAGGGTCTGCCGACCAAGCCTTAAAACCTTGAGAATGAACCTTGATGCATGAAGCTCCCTGGCCCAAAACCCGCTGAAACCGAAACCAAACCAAACTGTCTCGTAAACTCTCTCGCTGCATCTTCAGACGAAGTAGGGAACTAACGGTAACCAACGATGGCGATTATGCCAGGGCAGGTTGGCAAACAGTGATGGAACGCCAAGACTCCAACAAACGCTCTCTACTCCTTATGCAAGAACCCCGCAATGTGCACCCGCTCTGTACGGGAAACTCAAGGTCCATAGTTAAGCAACGCTCAGAAAGTGTGCTCACACCGCAGCAATAAAAAGACCCCGAATAGCCCAAAGCAGGTATCTATCGCTTGCACACTTTCGACCTCCACGCCGGTACGATTTCTGTACTTGCTTCTACCCAGAGGCCCCCAAAGTAGTTCTTTTTGGGGATTACCTTATAGAACTCTATATATGAACCCCCAAAAAGGAACTACTTTGGGGCCTCTGGGTAGACCCCTTACAAAAACCCAGGAAAGTAAGAACCCAGAAAGCAAGCGAACTGAAGCCCAGGCAGTCGGAGGAAGTGATCCGAAAGTCCAGCTGTTGTCCCGGCCTCTGGGGTGTATGTTTAGGGTGCATGACTACTTATAAGTATATATATATATATATGTATATATATATATATATATATATGTATATCTATATATAAAAACATGCATGCATGTGTGCCAGTACGTATTGTATGCATGTTCCTGTTGTTTGTGGCATGGGTGGTGGGGTTGAGTGTTGTCTGATAAATGTTGTTGTGCGGTCTCATGCGTGCCTTGTGAAGGGCTTCATTTCAGGATTTGTCGGGCCTTTGCGCCACTACGGTTTAGGACATCTAGGATTTCTGACTTTAGCGTTTTAAGGCTTCAGTGCTTTACGGATTTCGGGTATTTGGGTTGCAGGGCTAGGAGTTCGTATCATTTCGCCTCCCGCATGGATAGGGTTTCATAGATAGGGATTAGTCTAGGGTTTGGGGCTGAGGGGTTTGAAGTTATTTTGCATCTGTAACAAAGAACATATGTTATTGACTGTGACTGTGTTTATCTCAAACGTATCTTGAACTCAAAATCCGTGACGGGGGCCGGTTAACCGTTCCCGTGCGTAGGAGGAGATCGGATCAGGGGGTCTACTTATACAGGCAGGCGAAGATGACATGACATACTTACTGTCTCCCCATCGCCCGAACTGTGACCCTCAGACAAAACCTTTGCTCCAAAACTCTGCCCCTTCTATTCGAAGAGCCAGGGGGGCTTTACGGTTACTCTTAAGCTACTAGGAATGCAAATAAGAAGCCCACGTAACTAATATTGCTTGAAGATGATAACGGTATGCTGCAGGTTGCGCGTCGATCTCAACCCCTTCCAGACCTGTCTTTGGAACAAGCTGGTTGCACAGCACGCATACCCACAGCTTGTCAGCTACATCCTTCAGTCGTCTCGCTTTTTTGTTGCAAACTGTGGTTCAAATAGCAGGGGGCAGGCCAGCTATTATTGACAGGGGTGCATATAGGCGCTACAGATGTCAATGGCCCGCCTGTTACAGTAACCTTCCCCACCTTACTTCCCTGCGCAGCCCCGTACACACGACCTCTCGATCCTGCTACTTGCCCATGCCTTGAAGCCTTAAGTACTACATTACTCCTACATATAAACCCCGAGCCTTTAACCCAACATGAGTCCCACAACTCTTTCGGTCGACACTGTCCGCTGCCAAGGGAAGGGCGCGTTCGAAGTGGAGTGGGCCACAGGACGGGCCAAGTCTCCCTTCATGGCCTGGGGCAAGTTTGATCTCTCTTTTTGCTTGCCTTCCAGATTGCGGGGACAGTGGGGACTTTAGGTTTTACGATTTGGGCTCGAGGTGGTTACTTGTCACGGAGCGGGAACAACTCCGAGTGGAGTTGATCCACTGGAGTTTTGGAATCGGAAGAACGATACCGTGGCCGCAAAACCTGTCCTGAAACCCTGGACCCTACGCCCGAAAAAGCTACAGTATCCCAGTAACATTCGCACCGCATAGGAACCTGAAGCTCGGCATGTTGTATTCATCCCGGCCTCAACCATGTCACCATATTTCACCTTTAGGTTCTCGAAGATGACGCACATGGTAGATGCTCTCAAGGCGGTTGCAATCTGCCCGTGTCTAAATATGTGGCCACCTTGGCTCCCACCACTTCTCGGGAATGTATAGATCTGCACACGACTTCAGCATAGTGCTGGTTCTGAGCTGGTTGAGTAACCTCCAGTTGCATAATCCATAAACCTGAACCTGCTTCAAAGGCCACTCTTCTGGCCGAGGCAAGGTGTATGCTCGTAGCCCTGAGGCAATATGAGGCCTGATTTTCGCCGGTGCTAATCCACCACCGAAAAAACTGTTCTAAGTATTCGGGCCCCCTCAGAATTTGTCTCCTTCATCTGCGCAGAAGTGGTCCAACATAGAGCCACCCATTGGGATTCTGGCACATCAGGTCAAGCCGGCATCAGTATAAGCCCCGCTGCAGTAATCTACGAACAAGCAGGTTATGCACTCTGAAACCTTTTAAAACTTAGACGCCTAAACCGAAACACAAAACCGTACCCCCAAACACCCTGAACCTAAACCCATAAATCGAACCGTATACCCGAAATCCCCACATCCTGAACCAAGCACAGACTGGGTGAGGAACCAGAGATTTCAGGAAGCGCTGCAACCTTAGGCTGAGAGTCAGTGTGGGATGTAGGGCTCTATACATCTCCACGGTCATGTTTAAGGGTTCTGCGAAGGGCTCTACTAGACGGATCTTAGGGCTGCTATGGCTTAGGGCACGGGGCTCGCGGTACATTGGTACGAATCCGGGCTCCAGGGACTGGACCTCAGGTCGATCCGGGTTTGTGGAGTTCAACTTTTTGCAGGGTTTAAGTTTTTTGGTGGCTTAGGGACTAGGGGGTTTTAGGGTGTTTGGGGCTGAGGGTTTAGGGTGAACTCTACACCTTTAGTGCCTTGAGTCAGCCATCGCAGTGGCAAGTGGCTGCGGTTGTTGTGATACCATCTCGGCATCGCAACAATGGCAAGGCACCGACTGCAACAACAAACAAGCATCATTTGCCACCTGGAGCCCAATATCTGAAGCCATTTAAAGCCCAGAAGCCTGCTCCGGTATCCCTTGTCAGGTACAGAATGTTGCCTTAATAATTCGAATAGGGTTTTTGGGCTCATATGGGCCCATGATGCTATAATTATATTAAGGAACCCCCACAATAAGATTGGCAATTCGTTAGGCCCCTTTCTATTTATCCCTGGTCAAGTGCGTAGATTCTCAAAATAAGTACCTTTAACGAAAACCCCAAAAACCCGAGTCATTCCGGGGACTGCGCCAGGCGATATTGCTTTGCAGCAAGGGGCGCTGCGCTGCAAACACCAGCCTGCATAGGTTTATTGGTTTAGAGTTTACGGCTTTGGGTATCCATTTACATACTTTTAGGTTATGCTTTATGGGCTCTGGCTTGTTGTTTTTGATTCTTTATCAGACGGGATCCTGTGTTCTGGGACGCAGCCTTCAAACTGGATTTTCCGAAATGTCGAGCACAGCACATTTTGTTCGAGATGAAGTGCTGCTTGGGCAAGTTTGCAAACCGTAGCCCCTGAGCTCTAGCATCCACTTAGAAGTTCCGATGCCCTGAACCCTGAAACCCTTGAACGCCCAAGGCCCAAAGTCCTAAATTCTTCAGGCCCTGTAAAGCCTGGAGCCCTAAAACTCGAAGAAGCTAAAAACGTTAGCCAAGCTATAAACCCTCATCCGAAACCCCAAACTGCCAAGCCCTAACAACCCTGTAATAACCACCCCCCAAAAACCGGTAGAGAGACCCTTTAACAAACCTTGAAGGGAACCCTTCAAGGAACCCTTGGGAGAACCCGTTAAAGGAACCCTTAAACCAACCCTCAAAGGAGCCCTTGAAAGGTTCGGGAGGCCTGCTGAGGTGCACGGACAAGGACTGCAGCGAAGTCCGCAAGCTCAGAGACCACGGGCCTCGGGTCGACCGAAGGGAAGGCTCTGAGCTTGCTTTAAGAGCTCTATAAGGGTCCTTTGAGGGCTCTGTAAGGACCCTTTAAGGGTTCTACTAAGGGTCCTTTAAGGGCTCGGGTTCAGTTTAGCTTTTAGATTTACTCAGTTTTGGTCCTGGCCTTTTTCCGGGTTAGCATTTCAGCTTGGGGTTTGTCGGGTGTTTCGTTAGCTCCCGCATGGTTGAGGGTTTGGGGTTTTAGGGTTGTTCTATGAGGAATCCAAAGCTCTACAAGTACATAGGGCTTTAGGGCTTTTCTCCTAAAACCAGGGGCCCCCAACCCCGGCTGGGCATAGGAACTTCTTGCAGGGCTAAGGACTCTTTGTGCCGTTTAAATGTAGACCTCTGATCAACACGACCCGAGCCCCCATGAAGACTCCTTACAGTACAAGGGGATATTTTTGAATCGGGGGTTTGCAATACATAATTCTAACAAAGTACCCTTCACATGACTTACGTAGTGCAACCCAATGCTTCCATGTGTGGGAGTGTAGGTAGACCTGTAGCCCCCCGCAATACAAGTGCTCACGACCCTTCAGGACTACACTTGTGGCCGCCTCGCAAACCGAAACTGCACGCAAGAAAAAAACACCAGCAGGCGCGCAGCTTTTGGCGAACAGCATGCAGCGGCTGAGGTAGTCGCCACGGGCATTGTTCAGACTTTTTGGGTAATCACGGGGCCTTGATAAGAGTAGAGTTTCGAGGTACAGTATACTTTAGAGCTGAGGACTGCTACAAGAGCTTCGGGGAAGGTTGCTTCCACTGGCGCTTCCGGGATATGCTGCGACACTACGACAAACGGTATCTAGAGGGTGTAGATGGCCTACGGCAGCAAGCATAAGGGATCTGTCTGTGTCGGCCTATCTGTCAAGCTTTCAGTCAATCACCCTGTCTGTCTGTCTGTCTGCCTGTGCCTGTTTCTAGATGTGCTGTTGTGCGGCTTGGAGTGAGATGGAAATGATGCAGGGTGGGTTGTCCTCTGTTCTTTTCCTGGGAAATCTGCACAGGGCTACATAAACAGCAATCCAGCCGGTAGTGAGCGCCCTGGCTAAAGGCAGCTTCTGAAGAAATGTCGAAAGCCTCCAACGCGCACTCCTGTACAAATAATGATCTGACCTATTGGTCAGGTTGTATATGTGTGTGTGTGATTAATGTCTAGATATGCATATGCAAAATACATACATGCATACATACACACATACATGCATACATGCACCCATGCATGCATGCATACATATGAACATAAATAAATAAATATATATATATATATATAATACAGACACATGGGTGTTGATTGGAGCAGAGAGGGAGAGTGTGTGTGTGTGTGTGTGAGTGTTCGTATGTGTAGGTGGCATCTACGTATTCACTTGTCTTAACTTATCTAATTTTTTGTTGCGTCCTCGCGCGCGCGTGCATTTGTGTGTGTGTGTGTCTCTGTGTGTGTGTGTGTGTGTGTCTGTGTCTGTGTGTGTCTCTGTGTGTGTGTGTGTGTCTCTGTGTGTGTGTCTGTGTGTGTGTGTGTATGTGTGTGTGTGTGTCTGCGTGCTTGTGCGTGTGCGTGTGTGTTGTGCGTGCGTGTGCGTGTGCGTGTGTGTGTGTGTGGGTGTGTGTGTGTGTGTGTGTGTCTGTGTGTGTCGCCGAGCCCTGAACCCCAATCCGTGTAGGGTCCACAAGATCCGTATACCCGAACTGGAGTTTGCTTAGGGTTGAGTTGCGGGTGCACGGGGGCTTAATGTTCACATAGAAGACAAAGGCCTGTTTAGGTCTTGCACCTTCCGGTTTCCGGTAGTCTGTGGTCTTTTTGCTCTCTCAGTGCCTTCGGGCTTGGGGTCTATAATACACCGCCCAAACCGGAAGCCTATCCGACCGCTACCTTGTCGATTTCTTCTACCCGAGGATTTCCACCGAGCCATGCTACCTTTCGTAGATTATGCCGCCTGGACCTTCTACAGATGGTCGTCTATGACAGTAGTATGGCAACCCTAAGCCTGGACCAACGTGTGTTCTGTACTTTAAAGTCATGTAAAGTCTAAACCCTTTCAAATGAAACTTCAAGCAGGCATATATGGAGCCTCCTATCAAGGTAGCTCCAGGATCTGGGCTGAATTCTGAACCACCATCCTTCTTGAAACTCTGAGATGCATATCCTGAACCTTCAAAACTTAACATCATATGCTGCTGTGCGTGGGGTGAGGGGGTGGGATGCGCACACAGACACTATCATCAGTGCATGAACATGGAAGCCCGTGTTTGCAGGATCCAGGTATATATTCTGATTCGTCAGTACGTATGGCTACATGTTAACATCCAATATTATAAACGTAGTAGCTAGATAGCGAACCCTTGACCGGTACCTTCCTGTTCTTAACCGCTTGTCCTAAACCCTAAGCAGAAAGTCCTACACCCAAAACCCTGACGCCTAAGACCCTTATTCCTAGAAACCCTTAAACTTCTGCAGATTCTTCAGATGCTGCTATACCTGCGTTCTCTGTCACAGCGCCGCAGTCTCAGAAAGACTCGGACATCCCAGTCCTGGGCTAAGTCAGCTAGAGAGATGCTGCTAATCCAGCTGAGTTTCCATATTTGCCCACAAGGAACTCCACTTCTTCGGGCCCCGATTTGCGACAAGTTTCAGTGCTCATGGCTATGTTTGGTTATTAATTTTTGCTGATTTGTGACTCTGAGCTGATATGTTCGAGAGTTCAGGTTTCATCGGGTACAGTTGTTTAGGGGTTTAGGGGTCTAGGGTTTACAAGTGGACAATGCGCCGGCTGTGGGGATTAGATCTTCAGGTTTATTCAGCGAGAAGCCCGGAATCCAAAGACAATGCGGTGTCACTCGCGGGCAATGATATACATGCGAACTCTCCAAGTCGACTTTCGCGAAAACCCTAGGCCTGTGAACCATAAAACCTACTCTTACATGCCATCGCGAAACCGAAGTGAAAGAAGCGAGCTGCCACACTGAGTCTAATCTCTTCAAAACCTCAAAAGTCCCAACATGCACAGGGTTTGCCGGTGGCTCCACAAACCTACTGCATTTCGGTTTTAGCCCTGCAAATATATGGTCACAATCTTAATCCTGCTTTGCAGGGGCCGGGGCTACGGTTTGGCTGCCCACCCGCTCGAGCAGCACAGCGTCTTTCGGCTGCAGTGTCTTGCGGTTGTACCCGTAGCTCTCGCTGTTGATGCTGGAATCTGACAGGCTCCGGTTGGTTTGCGAGTTTGGATATTTCGGAGAGCTTCCATCTAAAACTCTGCGGGTTTCGGGCTTCGGTTTTGAACAACCTCACTGAAGACACTGAAGATGCGGTTCGGGTGCTTCCGTCTTGGAGTCCTAGGATTTCACGCAGGTTTTGTTGGCGAGATCCGGCGTGTGCTCAAAAGTAAGGTTTGGATTTATGTTTGCGGGCATGCGCGGGTCGAGGAATTTTAGCGGCATATGTGGCAGCATGATTGCTGTCGTGTTCTTTGCTGGGGTCTGTGGAGCAAGCCTATCCCCAAAAGCCACAGAACGAAATCACTGTTTTCAGAGTTTTGAGTGCTCAGGGCCTCGATAGGGAATGGAGGCGCGTATGCAGCTGGCAACATCGCCACACATCTGGATGAAGAGGAGTCTTTCAACATCGACAAAGCTATAGAGCCCCATAATCCTCCATGCAAGCATCACAACAGCCCCACATCAAAAACGGGGGTCTTCTTTGACCACGGCAAGACTTTAGTTGAGGATGTCTAACCCATGTGTCTTGATGAACGGGATGTCGAGCCGTCTCGGAACTCCCTCATCCTATTACGGGAATAGCGTTTTCATGACTCCCGGCCTAAAGGTCCATCCTCCTGCGAAGAGGTTCGGCTTCTGGGAGTCGTGCCCGGCAGGTGCCTTAAGAGAGCTTGGATATAGACATCTATCAATCAATCTAGACAGATAGATAGATCAATCGAGGAATAGATAGGACAGTTATAAACATAATTCAATACAGATAGATAGATACATGGATGGATATGTAGATTAGACTGGATGAGATTAGATTCGAATTCGATTTCGAACAGATCAGAATAGACTAGATTAGATAGATAGATAGATAGATAGATAAGTGGATAGTTTCCGGTTTTCCAAGGATTCCGCGGAGTTCAGTGGCCGCATGCACTAGCTGATCGTTTCGTCTCCGGTAGATTGGTTCAAGTGTGAAGAGTGCGTAAGGATTTTCGGAGCGATGCAGAGTTAACCCGCAAGCCCTACACCCGGAACCACATACCGCGGGGAGATAGCGATTCACTAAGTAGGGTTTCTGAACAGGGACGACCGCCAGACAAACTATGGAAGTGTTAGGAGGTGTGCAGAAGTGCCCAACATCCAAACCCATTTGGGTGTGTCCGGGTCTGTAAGTCTTGAGGCTGCTCGGTTCTAATGCTAGCTGCGCTCGAGGCGGCTACAGGGTTACACATAAAACTTCTCATCCCCGTAAGTATCATAACATTGTAGGAAGCATCGTGAAATGGGAAGTTCTACCACGGCGCCTGTCGTCTAGTCTATAGCCATGTTGTCACACAGAAATCACTGTACAAACACATTGTGCAATGAATGCTGAATAAGGGTTGCTGCCAAGAGGGTGATTGTCTTCTGCCATTCTGTCTTCATGGGGGGACCATCACAACAAGGCCATGCAGTTTTTGCTGGCGACCTAGCCATAACCCTGACTCCTAAACTTTAAACCCCAAACTTCCAGCCTAGCCATAACCCTAAACCCGAAACTTTCATGCAGACAGCAGGCAGTTCGCCAAAGAAGGTGCTCAAACTTCGATCCTTGTCAGGGCTGTTTCCAACCAACTGTGGCGGGTTGGCTCTTCAAAGAAGGGGTCCCCTCATCTAAGGCCCTGTGATATTGTTCCGGCTGTTCAGGACATTTCGGATCTATTAAGGTCCTGGGTGCTTGGCAACCCCCTTTTAGAGCTGGGTCGTCACTGTC